CACTGTTCAGTAGAGGGCTCGTAAAGACAAAGCCCCAGGGCCGCGGGGAGCCTAGTGTGGCTGAGGAGCAGACAGAAAGCTGGTGTGACAGGCTCACAGTGGTGATGGTAGGAGGGAACAGGCAGTGGTGGGAAAGGATGCAGGGGCCTGGCTTTGATAATGAGCTTGTGTTTTATTTTGTTGGAAAGTTATTGGAGGATTCGAAGAGGCCATCCACCTGGAGTTTTGAAAAGATCGCTGTGACTACTCTGTGGAGAATCAACCCCAGGAGGGCCTGAGGGAAATGGAGGCACTTGGGGAGGCCATGAGGGCAAGGGTTGATGGCTTAGACCTGGGCGGTGCTGTGGAAATGGAGAGAAAGAACTAACACAAGTTACTGGGCTGAGGAATGCTGATACATGCTAACCCTGGTGAGAGGGCCTGCTGTATAAACCATTGAATTCACTTTTTAAAAAAGATTTATTTATGCATACAAGAACTGGGGTACAGGCCAGAGGTGCGGGGGGTGAGAGGATTCACCAAAGTCAGAGTGGGGAACAGAACAGGCAGACTGACTGAAATACACTGCTGAGGGGAGCAGCAGGCGAGACAGGAGGTCTGCTGCTCCATGTGGGTAGCTCCCTGGCCAGCTGGGGATCGAACTCCTGCTGCAGAGGCTGCGGATAGTTTCACAGTGCTGTGCTTAACCCCTTGCGCCACCAGCAAGGCCCTGAATTCACTTTTAATAAGCGGTATACTACAGGCCAAGTGAATGTTTCTTTGGCTGGACTAGGCCACCCTCTCCCGTAGACCATCGAGATGGAAAGCCATAGGGTGCAAAGGCTGCTAGGTGCCCCTGGAGGACCAGCCAGGGGAGCTAGACGATGGCTGCAAGAACATCAGATGCTGACAGCCTGTGGGCCAGGCAAGCATGCTGAAGCATCGGGCCCCTCTCCTCCAGACAGGGCTGGCGTGGGCACCGTCAGCATCTGCTTCTCTGTCTGACCTTTCCCTTTTCTAATCCCAGGCATTTGGGTTGTCATATGTTGGTGTCGTCTGTCTAGCTTCGCCGACCTGTCTCTTAGAATATCTCCTTGTCCATCTGTACTGGGTGGGCACTTCTGAACCCCTGCTTCTCAGGCCTCTCCCTATGCAGCTTCACATCCTAATTACAAACCCTCTCAGGGTTGTTATATTGGGTTGCATACTATGCTAAGTGTTCTCTGTATGCTGTTTTTCTGAATCCCCATCACCACCCTGAGAGGGAGGGAGGGGTGTCTCCATTTTATAAAGGTGAGGCGACTGAGACTCAGAGAAGTGAAGTCACTTGCTCAAGGTCACAGAGCCAGCTTGTGGCAAAACTAGGCTCATAGTCTGAATCTGCCTGACCTAGGTGTGTTCGCTGCCCCACTGCCCTGCGAGGGATCTATGAGACGAGGGTTTATGAAGTCCCCTGTATTGGTGGGCTGCGGCACTCAGTGAAAAAAGCCTTGACCTTTGCAACAGTTCTGACTCTTGCAAGGCTGCCTGTAGCAGCGCCCTCAGTTCCTTCACCTCTCCCCAAATCCAGCCAGGATGTTTAGAGCTCACCTTTAGGGGTTTCTTGTCCTGAGGAGAGAGATGTCATCAAAGCCTCCTGTCTGTCTTCTGCAGGATTCTACTTGCTCCCATCTCTGGGTTTTTGCCCACATGGTTACTAAGCCCAAAATGCCCCACACCTCCTTTTTTTCTTCCCTTTTTAAAAACCTAATTCTACTTCACCCTCCACTCCCTACCGTATTTAAGCTTCTTTGGGAACTGCTGGCTAATCTCTTGATCACCAGGCCCCCAGAATGTTACTGAAAAGTACACTGGCTAATCTAAGTCACATCCTGCCTTAGGGCTTTAACCATCTCCCTGGTGAGCTTCATCCTCCCAAGTCGCAGTGAGCTCCACGGGAACCAACACATGCTTCCCCCCATGTCCCCTATGGTGACCGGCCGGCTTGGCTGCCCAGCGGGCTCCCTCAGTCTGTGCTGACCTGGGCCTGGGCAGCATCGAACCCACGTGACTGGCTGTGGCAGACGCCAACGCCAGGTTCTTGGCTCCCTTTCTGTGGCTTAGTGAGTGAACCATGCCGTTATTCCTGGATGTGAAATGAAGAGGGATCTCATTGTGGTTGAAAGAAAATAATGTTATTTTTCTTTTTAATTCATTATTTTTTAGTGTTTAAATAGATTTTTTTCTCCTCATCCTTTCATACCAAGCTATGTGAATTGGAAAAATTTGTTTTTCAAATTCTAAATTTTTTATTCATTCAAGAGCTTGCCTAGTATAGTAGAAAAATGGAGAAGTACAGTTAAACAGAAAGAAAGAAAACACAATCTGTACTCCTGCCATCTAGAAACAACCCTAGTTACTCACTTTGCTGTATCTGTGTGTATTAATTAGAATAGGGTGAATCTGCACAAAGTGTTGTCCGTTGTGCTTTTTCATTTGGAGATTTTTCTATGATTTTTTGCATCTTTTTTTACAAGGTAGAATGGGTGAACCATCACTTATCTACCCAGTCTCTGGCCGTGGGGTTTAGCCTGGGCCTGAGTGCTTCTCTTTCAAGTTGATTCTGTTGAGGTTTGCTTGAGGCAGTGAAGTGCATTGGAAAGGATAATGGATCCGGACATTGGGTCCACCTAGCTAGGAGGTTGCTAGGGAGGAGAGATGGCAAGAGTCCTCAGGGGAAACTGCGGAAATGATGGCCACACAGGTCTCTTTTGCTCGCTGGGTCTCACCCATAAAAGAGGAAGTTGAGTTCCCTCAGAAGACATCCCACTCTCTCATCAGTGGTTCTGCTGGCACCAGGCATTCATTGCCAGGTGGGGGATTGCTGGGATATTTAGTTGAGGTCATTCTTCCAGCTATTTCCAAGAAGGTGCAGGTCCCGGAAGGTTCAGAGAGTATGGGCTGACGTCAGATGGAGGCGGAAGGGAGGAGTGGAGGCCCTGGCGCTTCTGGCTGCCTGGGCCCACAAGGGTCATGTGGATTCTGCTTCTCAAGCAGAAAATATACAGATTAGTCTGTGGATGCCTTTTTGGAATCAAAATTAAGAAGGTGTTTATTTTAAGGGTTCTTCTCTCTACGCATTATCTAGTATAATGGTGGATATCATCCCGTGTAGATTTAAAAGAAATTCTGAGCCAGGCAGACAAGTCTCAATTTGACCCTATGGGGTGTGAGCACTCCTGGAGCAGCTCTTGTTGCTGAATGCCCTGGCACAGAGTTAGCACTTAGTGTCACATAAGTAACAGAGCTTTTCTTTAACTATGGCTTTAACTTATGCCCGTAAAGCCTAGGGTAATGACATGAGTGGAAAGCACTTCTGGGTGGAGATGAGGCTATGCAGATTAAGGCCTTTCCTTCCTCCTCATCCTACTTCTTAAAATCAGTGTCAGTAACAACAGCCCCTCTCATTTGTGCTACAGGCTCCAGCTTTAACAGCATTCCACTCTCTCTACTAAGTGGATATTAGGTTTTTCATGGTCTTCCCAGACTCACAGCTGTGGGGTGGCTGAGTGGGGAGCTCAGGGCCCCTGACCTGCTGGTGCCCCCTGGAATGCAGAAAGAGAAACTGAAGAGCAAAAAAGAAAAGTGTGGGGCAGGGGTTGATGCAGGTGGATATCCCAGGGTGCATCCAGTGTCTGTTGTCTGTCTTGTACATCAGAGGCTTCCTATGGTGGGTAGGTGATGAGGGTGGAGGGGGTGGAGGGGTTCTTCCAGGTCTAGTCTAGATCTTTCTTATTTAATGTGATGGATTTAGAGAAAGACTCTAGACTCAGAGGTGAGGATTCCTGCCCATTTCTCTGTTGCACAGATTTTAGCTCCAAACTTTTTTGAAGATCCAATGATGGGGTCAGGAATGGGTGCTTTCACCTTCTTTTAAAAAAAAAAAAAACACAACTGTGATCTTAAAAATATATATGCATGTTTTAAATTATTAAAGTAATCAAAAATGTGTAAAGTAAAAAAATGAAGTGTACCTTTTTTCCCACTCCATGGAAAGTACTCATTTTCCATTTCTATTTTTGAATTCTGAACCTCTCTTAAAAGTTTGGTAGGTAACCTTTCAGATCTTTACTACATACGTATGAGCACAGAGATGTATTGTAGAGATTGTTTTTTCTTTTTTTAAATATGAAAATTGTGCCATGCCATATTCTCTTTCTCTCTCTCATACTCTCCTTTTCTCTCTTGGCAATTTGCTTATTCCAACAGAACCTGGGCAGTAGGTCCTTGATTCTTTGAAATATCATTTACTGCTCTGAGAGGAAAATGATAAGAATAGCCTGCCCTGAGATATTTTCTCTAAGTCTCTTGTTTTTTGAATGAGTCCCAGAGAGGTGAAGTGACTGCCCCAGCTCAGTTCTGCAGATTTTTATATCATCAAGACTATACATTTTTAAAGAGTGACTTTCTGTCTTCTCCTTTTGGATCCATTCTGAGACTATCCCTGTGAAGTCAGCAGGGCAGGAATTATTGAGACTGGGGATGAACAGCCTTGCCCACAGTCTCTGCTGCACAGGGCCTGGAGCTCAGGGCACTTTGGGTTGAGCTCAGTTTATCCAGCACTTACTGAGAGGCTGGAGTGCCAGGTGCTGGCTAGTTGAGGTCCTGCCTGGAAGTGATCGCTGACTGTTTCTGGTGAGCTTGGTGGAGTGGGGCTCCCTGGAAAGACTCAGTGTCCCCATGAAGGGCCCAGATTCCTGATTTGGGCTAAGATATTGGTGTCCAGGAGGAGCTATGTGGACTGAGGGTTGGAGGGGGTCTGTGACCTCAGTTGCTGCCGTAACCCGTTACTTCTCATGACTCTCCCCACTACCGATCCCCACTACCTCTGTCTCTCCTCCCTCCTTCCTTCTCTCTGTGGCTCTTTGTCCATTTATCTCCATCTGTCTCTCTCCACGTGTGGTTCCTCTTGCTCTGTTCGGTCACACCATCGCTGCCCTGCCCTTCTCCCCATCATCTGCTCTTCTTCTATGTCAATGCAGGCGTGCTGGTCACCATGACAACAGAGACAGGCCCTGATTCTGAGGTGAAGAAGGCTCAGGAGGAGGCCCCGCAGCAGCCTGAGGCAGCCTCTGCAACCACCCCTGTGACCCCTGTGGGCCACGGCCACCTGGAGGCCAACTCCAATGAGAAGCATCCGCACCAGCAGGACACTCGGCCTGCTGAACAGGTGTGCGCCTGAACCTCCCCTCCCTGTCCAGATAGCCCTCCAGGGAGGAAAGAAGAAAAGGAATTTATTACTGACCCCTTACATGTGAGCATTGTGCTGGGAACATTGTGTTCATTTTTATGTTTAATTATCTCCTGAACCAGAAAGAGTAGCTATTCATTCCCCCCCTATTTTACATTTGGGGAAACTGAGGCTCAGTGGATGAAATATGCCCCAAAGTCACATTCCCATAGAGTAACCAAGGTAGAAGTTAAATCTAGATCTGATTTTGGAAACTCCTGCTCTTTCAACCTTATTTTCCTAACCCTGAGCCTATTTGTTCTAGCTTGTCAGACCCTAGGTGATGCCAGAGTGAAATTCATCAAAGTGACAAGGGATGTAGGGAATCATCTAGCTTTCGAATTCATGCCTCTGCCAACTTATGACAGGCCCTGAGAGGACAGGGACTTGGCCAAGGTCACTGAGGGTGTCCGTGGCAGGGTTTGGCTAGTGGACGGGGCTCTAACCTCTCCCTCCATTGGATCAGTCCACAGCTTAATGACTAAATCAGTGACAGAGCGAGACCATATGGATTGTTCTAGGGAGGCAGCATATCTCTGACCTCTGGGTTTGGTTTTGTGGGGTGCTCCTGCTGGCAGCAACAGCCTGTGGGGAAGAAGTGGCCCCCTCACATGAGCCTACCCCATTGCACAGGGAAGCTCTAATTCTTCTTCTATATACCCATCATAGGTCCTATCATCCTGGGGGACTTTTTTTTAAATTTATTTATTTATACATATAAGAACTGGGGTACATGCCAGAGGTGTGAGGGGGGCGAGGATTCACCAGAAACAGAGTAGGGAGCAGAACAGGTGGATCTACTGAAATAGATCTGCTGAGGGAAGCATCAGGCGATACAGGAGGGGTCTGCTGTGCCATGTGGGTAGCTCCCAGGCTGGGGATCAAACTCATGCTGCAGTGGCTATGGATAGCTTTATAGTGCTGTGACTTAACCCCTTGTGCCACCAGGGAGGCCCCTTTCCCCGGGGTCTTGAGGACGGTGACTCTCATTTTAGGATCCATCTTAGCCCCAGCTGCCTCCTTAACTGCAATCACATGAAAGGCTATGATTTTAAGGTAACTGATCAAACTTTCCTCTTGGTTGTACCTGCAGAGCCTAGACATGGAAGAGAAGGATTACAGTGAGGCCGATGGCCTGTCGGAGAGGACCACGCCCAGCAAGGCCCAGAAATCACCCCAGAAGATTGCCAAGAAATACAAGAGTGCCATCTGCCGAGTCACTCTGCTCGATGCCTCTGAGTATGAGTGCGAGGTGGAGGTAGGATGCACCCTTGGCTCATGCCCCATCCCCAGTTGCTGGCCAGGACAGGCTGCAGTGTGCACTTAGCCTGGGTCACACCAGAGGGCATCCACGGAGTTCTGGACTGGCAGCAGTGTCCCGGAGAGATGGCCTGGCCTTCCCTCCTTTGTGCAGATGGTGGCACTGAGGCCTGGAGAGGGCTGTAATGATTGCCAATAGAATTAGACAGGGCACAGGGCTGGCGCCAGGAACAGGTTTCTCAGGGTGGCTGTGCTTTGGCAAGGAGCCACCTTCTAAGGGCTGATCCATGGCTCCGGAACAGGGCTCTTCACTCTCACCTAGCAGAGGATGATGTTTAAACTAGAATCATTTGTATGTATTTATTAGACTGCCCCTCCAGTCTAGGGCACCATCTCTAGTCTAGAGGACAAGCTGGCCAGTTGAGGGTTCCGTGTAAGTTAAGTAGGGAAGCTGGGCAGGAGGTGGTGCTCCAGGTGTGCTGCCCGGGATTTCATGTGGACTTAGTATAAGGAGAGGGGCCCTGGAGGGAGAGTAACGTGGTTACCCTGGGTCCCAGACCTTCCCTTCTCCCTGCCCATGGCCCTCAGATTTCAGGTGTTTTTCCTCTTCCTTTCATGTCCAAAGGACTTTGGCTAATTACTCCTTGGGTCTGAGTTAGCCTCCATCTCTTAATCTCTATTAAGGAAGGTGAAATCAGTCACCCTTCCCATCTCCATTCCAACTTAGATCAAGCAGGTCTAAAGTCCAGAAGGGTCCCAGCTGGGCTCAGGAGAAGGCAGTTGATGAGATGAGTGTTTAGTGTCATCTAGATCCCTTAGAACTTGGAGAGCAGAGCCAGATGGGTTGCAAGTGTCTTAAGATCCTCTCCAGATGCTGGCAGACTTTTGGGGGTTTTCAGGTTGTCCTGGGTAGAATCTGGGAGCTTCAAGGCACCTCTGCTTTCCTCTTTAGAAACATGGTCGGGGCCAGGTTCTGTTTGACCTGGTCTGTGAGCACCTCAACCTCCTGGAGAAGGACTACTTTGGCCTGACCTTCTGTGATGCCGACAGCCAGAAGGTACCTGGGCTGGGGAGCAGGGCTGGCAGGGAGTCCCGCTCTGGGGCTGACCTCTTCCCTGAAGTCCCCATCATCCTCACCACATCCCATGGCTTCCATCAGGCACCTTCTCTTTATGAGCCCCCAAGGTTCACTCTGTTCTGTCAGTCCTCAGTTCTCACTTTACTGCCCCCAGGCCCTCCTCAGGGAACTGCAAGTCACCCCCTGATGGGTATCCGGAGAGCCATGGCATGGCTTTCTGGGAGATCTGGGGCACTTATCCCTGGTACCTCTTCCCACACTTGGGAAGTTCCTATCTGAGTTTCCTCTTTACCGCCAGTTCGACTACACCTGTTAACTGCGCTGTCTCAGGGTAATGCAGTTCCAAGATACTGGCTCCCAGGTCCTTGGGTGAATCCAGGTCTCATTCCTTCACTTCCCAATCCTGAGGAAATGGGTCCAGGAAGCTCAGCCAGGGAAGGTGTTCCCTGCGAGGGGCCGTGAACAGACCTTTTCAGGATGTGTCTCTCTCCTAGCCCTCTCTACTCCTAACTCCTTGCGCCCATCTCCCCTCTAAATAACTATTTTCTCTTGCAGAACTGGCTGGACCCCTCCAAGGAAATCAAGAAGCAAATCCGGAGTGAGTGGCCTGCTGGGAATGTGGTAGAATGGTGGGCCGGGGCACCAAGCCTTGAGGGCCCTCTGACTTTGGGAAGTGCATTCAGCCCTATGAGTTTATCTGCTCTGCTTGGCAAATGTTTGGGGGAGCAGGTTAGGAATTACTGTTTTATAGATGAGGAGTCTCAGGCCTGGATGAGAAAAATGACAGTCTAGAGTCACGCAGCAAGTTAGCAGGGGAATCACAACCCTGTTCAGGATATCAGCCCTAGCAGGGACCTGCAGGATCATTTAGGGCAAGGGGACAAACTGATGGCCTGAACAACCACTCTCCTGTCCGGGCTGTGTGGACCTCAGTGATCAGTGACCCTTGTGTCTCAGACCTCGCCCTTGTGGCATTCCAGGGCACTGCCAACTGATAGGAGTTCACATGTCAGGGGAAGCTAGGCCCCTCCTTGATCTTGAGCATCTCCTGTATTTGTGGATGGGTGACTGAGGCCCAGAGAGAGGCAGTTACTTACCCAAGGTCACAGAGTGAGGTGTGGTTTGTGCCAGGCCTCAAGCTCTGGCCTCCCAATGCCATCCTGCATTTTTTCAAGGCCCGGAGTGAAGAGAGATGAGCAGGCCAACAACCTGTCCTTTCTGGCCCAGAGAGAAAAGCCATGTTGGGAGGGTTGGGGCAGCATTCAGATGGCAGAAGGGGGAGGTAGGTGGCCTCAGCTGGGAGCAGGGGTGAGGGGAACATGCAGTAGGTGAAGACCTGAGCCTAAGGGCCAAGATGCCTCTCCTGGAGCCCCTCCCCCTGGGCTGTACTTGGGCTCCCTGGTCCTTGGGCTGGAAAGCTGTAGCTGAGCCTGTTACCATGACAGCAGGCAGCTGGGCCCAGGATGCCAGCTGACTCTGCGGGAGGGGGCTGGAGGAATTCTTCCTGTAGGCTCCTGTCAATTGGAGACAAAGAGGCAGGCACACAGACAGAGCATACTCCTCTGGGACCGACAGGGTCCTGGGCCTGGACTTCAGGCTGTCTTCCAGGAGCCCCCACCCAGCTGGGAGGTCTCTCTCATACCTGAAATATTGCAACACACACAAGCAACCAAGTGTGCAACCTTTGATAAGGACCAAGGGCTTAGGAAAGAGAAGCAGCCAGCAGAATCACTGGACCTCAGCTCCCTCCCCAGAGCAGAGTGTTAGTCCCCCATCCCCACAGCCCAGCCAGCATAGACCAGGCTTGGTGAACAGTCCCTCTCTGTGACCAACCTGCTTCAGTCTTCATCCCATTCCACCCATTCATCCTACTTGTCCTTTTTGGGGCCCCAATGTAGCAGTTTTTGCCCCTCATCTTTGTGACAGGCCCTCAGCTTTCTGGGCAGCACCACAAGTCCTGTGTCCTAGGCTTGAGTTGGGAATATTTCCTCCCAAATCTTGGTGCTCATTGCCTAGGGAACTGGGGCAATTTCTCCGCCTCTTTGGTCTCTTGCTTCTCCTTAGCTAGAGGATTAATGATTCCTTCCTTATAAGGTGGGGGTGACAATTTAATGATGGATATGTGGACAGCATCCAGCACAAAGTAGGTGCTTTCCTGAGGCATTCTGGGGTATTGGTCGAAAAGACAGATAATGGGACCAGACTACCTAGATTTGATCCCTGACTCCATCGCTACTTCTTGTGATATTTAATTATTCCGTGCCTCAGTTTTCTTATCTGTAAAGTGGAGGTAATGACAGTATTTAGCTTTAGGCTTGTTGTGAGGGTTAAATGAATTACTATGTATACAACACCTGGCATGATGCCGGTATACCAAAGTGCCCAGTGTGCTTATTAGCTATTATCATTACCACTGTCCTTATTACTACTGTTATTACTCCTGAGACAGGGATTGTTTCCCTTGAGGCTGCTTTTACCAAGGAGTCAGCTGTATCAGGAACCTGGGCTCTGAGGTTTGATGACCAGTCACAAGCCCTGTTCTCTACCACTAACTAGCTGAGTGCCCCCAGGAGGGTAACAACCTCTAGAATCTTCATCTATAAAAAGGAAGGTCAACCTCAGGATCATTATGAAGATCACATTCTTCTAGAGGTGTGTAAAGATCCTAGCAAGTCAAAGGACTGGCGCTTAGTAGTGTTGGAGACCTGACAACTCTTCTGGTGAAGACTGCAATGAGCACTGGGCTAGGATGACAATGACGGCATAGCCTCTAACCCTGCAGGACCTGCAATACCCTGATGGACTTTTTTAGAGCATGGAGCCTGAAATGTCCCAGTGGTGGTATGAGACCATGGTTTTGACTGTAGCCTTTCGCCAAGCCCCCCACCTTCACTCCCTCCCTTCTCCCGTTCTTAAGTCATCATCCCTTTGCTTGACTTGCAGAGCTTATTTCCAGCTAAGACCTTAGCCTCTTTCTCTTTCTTTCTCTCTACCTTCGATATATGTGTCATTGATTTTTCAGATCTCAATTTGGAGCTTAACATTTATCCTGTGAAATGCCCTTTGTCTCTTTTAGTCCATTATATTTGCTTTTAAGGTCTTGTTTATAACCATTTCTGCCCTCTAAGATGGAGCCAGTGTGGTATAAGGCAGAGTTTTCCAAAGTGTAGTCCAAGGAACATTAATCTGGCAGGCTGCCCTGTGAAAAATGGGTACAGTAGGTCAAATAAATTTTAGAAACTACTGAATATATGTCCCCTTTGGAGAGGTGGAGTTTACAGTGGCAGAGTGAGGGTTCTGAGAAGTCCAAAGATCGGAAACCTGTTTAATGTGGCATTTTCCAGACTTCCCATCTTCCCCTTAGCCTCCGAAGGCATTGACATTGGATTAAAGGAAGGAGCATGGGCTCTGGAGCCAGGCACTGAACCCTAGCATTGCTGCTTCCTGCCTGGGTGACCTTGGAAGGCTGACCATTTCACTGCCTGTGCCTTGGTATCCTCATTTGCAAAATGGGGATAATCACAGGACTTACTTATTGGGTTATTATGAGGTTTAATGAAGTGATTCTTGTAATTTACATAGTGGCTGGTGTGCACCATTGGTTTTCTTCCTTTCTACCTTCCATCCCATAGCTAGTTCACAAGTCTCTTAACCTGGGCCTCAGTCTCATCTGTCAAGTGGAAATAATGTTTCAGACTTCTTGATTGGAATGTTCTGAGAATATAGATTTGAGAAGGCTTTAAATAATCACCCTTGGTGTGGTGCATCTGGGCCACCCACCGGGTGCTGGAACATCTCTGATAGTTTCCCCATCTTCTCCTCTCAGGCAGCCCCTGGAATTTTGCCTTCACAGTCAAGTTCTACCCCCCTGACCCGGCTCAGCTGACAGAAGACATCACAAGGTAAGGGTTGCATGGGTGGCAGGTGTGCTGGTTGTGTGTGACTAGGGATGAGGGCACCTGGCCCTTGGAGACATCGGGGTGTTTAAGACAGCAGTTGCGAGCTCAGATGTCCACTGAGATCGTGAAGTCAGCATCAACAAACAAAGCCGACTCTGTGCAAGAGAAAGTGATGCATACATGTTGGCCAATGGTCACTGGCTCTTGACTTTAGAGGGGCAGGTGTCGTAAAGAGAAGGGGACCCAATGTGAATTTGAAAGGACAGGCACCATCTGAAAGAGTTCAGTGTGGGCAGTCATTGCCTGTGGGAATCAGGCCCAGTTGTTGAGATAAAGTTAGAGATTTGAGAGTAAAGCCACAATTTTAAAATGTTGATAGTGAATTCAAACTTTGCATGTGGAATTTGCACTTGGTGCACACATCAGGCCTGTCGGGGTCAAATGAGGCATGTGAACCCCTTGGTGGCAAGCTCAGGCTCTTGGGTGAACATGGACTGCACATGAAGTCCTACTGTGCTTTGGGGCTCAAGGATACCATGGCTTAAAGATAGGAAGGGAGTATAAAGCATTCTTCAGGATAAGAGCTTCTATGGGGCTCATCCTGTCTCTGAAACCAGAACAAGGGGAGGCCCTTCTTTTTATATCCCTTCCAAAGATATCCTGAGGCTGTGTTATCCATGTGTGTGGGGGTCCTACGCATCCTTCAGTAAGATGTGGGCTTGGAGTTATTCCTGCAGCAGGGAAGGGGCTACTAAACCAGCCTCTCTCCCCTGTTGGGTCTCTCTTTAAAATTTGCCAGGCAGCAGGCCAAGATCAAAATGCTGGCGCTGGCCTTGGGAGATAAGACAGATGTCCCCGGACTAGATCAAGTCCTGAGGTCAGCTTGGGGCCAGGGTGGCAGCAGCAGGGTCTGAACTTCATTCCCAGGAGGAGTGAGAGCTTTATATCAGCACACACTCCATCCCTACTGGTGCCTCACCTCTTTGTGCCAATACCCAGGCATCAGGCTTACTGGGCACCAGGAGGAAAGTTAGCCTTACCCAGAGTTGCACCCAGAGGGCACCCAGAGTTGGGTGGTAGTAGCAGTTGATTTAATCAAAAACATTTGGGCCCAAAATAAATTGGTTAAATGACAAATTGATTGAAATGAAAGATTGGTCAGAGTACTTGGCAGTGATTTCCAAATTCTACTTTTGAACAAAATGCCCATAAGCCCACATTTGGGGCCCGTGATGTTTGAGTTGCTGCTGACTCTGAGCTTGTGCCTTGGCCTGAGCACACACTGAGGCTGCATATACTTCCTGGCAGAACTTCAGTTCTGACTGCAAAATAATGTCACAGAGTAGTAAAAATTATTCTGAGTGAATGCCACTTAAAAGGAAAAGAAACTGGCAATTGAAAAAAAATGGTGAAACATAGCAAAATGGGCTCCAAGGAGGCATCAATGACTGAGAATGAACTGAAACTTGTTTTTTAATACACAGCAACTGCAAAAGCAATAAAACATGGTTTAAAATGGTTCTAAAAATTGTAAAACCAGCCAAGTGTGCATAAAAGTTATAAAAAATCATGGCCTAGTGATTGGAAATGTTTCCTTTAAACCAATTTGTTTTCAGACAATTCACTCAGAGCTGGAGGCAAAATAAAAAAGTTCTGAGAAAATATGGGCAAATAGGTCCACCCAGGCTGTGGCATAGGGTGCAGAAGGTAAAATGAATGAAGTTAAGTTGCAGATGCTGACCTCGAAACTACTCCAGGGCACATAGTTGGGAGTGAAAAAGCAAACTGTAGATTCTGATGTAGCATTTAATGCCATTTATATGTTAAAACACCCTTGCATCAAAACTTAGTGCATTCTGTCTGTCCTTGGAGGAAAAAGTTCTAGAACACCACATGGAAAGCAGGGTACCTTTGTCTGAGAATGGACACCAAGAGGAAATTTAGCATCAACTCTAAAGTTTACACTTTTTCCACCACTAAGAATTTACAATTAAGAATAATTGTGTAATTAAATATATGTGACATTTTAAAAAGCCCAAACCAGCAAAGTAGTCCTATTTAACTTGGTAATGAGTTCAAAATTGAAATGTTCCCACAGTAGGAGAAATCTGTCAAAATTAGAAATGATAAAAATGTTGAAAGACATGTGAATGGTACAAAGCCATCGCATAGGTCACGCCCAAATTCCCAACATAGGAATGCCAGGGTCTGGGAACATGCTTTTTCTTCCAAGTTGAGCATTGGTCAGTTTGGTTCTGATGATGGATGGGCAGCTGTGCTTGGGTCATCTAGGGAGGGAGTGGGGCCCTGTGCCCATGCCCACTCTCCCTATCTCCAGATACTACCTGTGCCTGCAGCTGCGGGCAGACATCATCACTGGCCGGCTGCCCTGCTCCTTTGTCACGCATGCCCTGCTGGGCTCCTACGCTGTGCAGGCTGAGCTGGGTGACTATGATGCTGAGGAACACGTGGGCAACTATGTCAGTGAGCTCCGCTTCGCCCCTAACCAGACTCGGGAACTGGAGGAGAGGATCATGGAACTGCACAAGACCTACCGGTGAGGGGGCCCCTACCCCACCCCCAGCCTTCCGCAGAGCCTCTGCTGATTGACTAAAACCTTCCCTGCTAGGCCTCCAGATGCTGTGCTATAAGTGTGGCACCTGGCTCAGCCCCTAACCAGGTGTGTCTTGAGAGCAAATGTCTTACCCCACTGTGTCTCCATCAAATGGGAATGGAAGTGATTTAGTACATGCTCTTCTAGGCATGTATGATCCCCTGTCTTTGGTCTCTGGAGATAATAATAGCTATTGTGTGCTCCTGGGTAAGTGTCCTGACGTCTTGATCCTGGTATAAAGTTCAGATGGCGTGGGTTCACCTTCTGCCACTTAATAGCCAGGGATCTTGGGCAGGTCATTCCTCTTCCCTTTCCCCCAATTTCCTCATCTGTTCAATGTGGGCACTAGTAAAACCTACCTGGGGTGGCCAGGAGGGCTAAAGTGTACGTATTAGAGACCCAGAGCCTGTCAGCTATGTGTTTTGTTCACTGTGATTTGAGGGGTTGAATGGCTGAGTGCTGTGGGAAGCACCTTGTTCCAGCAGTTAGAAGATGCTTAACTGGATATGTGGTTGTAGGGGGTTATTTCACCTGTCTGAGCTCCTTTTTCAGTTGTATGTATACACTTAGATTGTCAGTGTTTCTCAACTGTTGGTATTTGGAGCAGGCTAGTTCATTGAGCAAGATGCTTGGCATCTTTGGGCCCCAGGCATTAAGTGCCCAAAATACTCCCTCAGTCATTGTAATAGCCCAAATGCCCTCTCTCCCATTTCTAAATGCCTATGGTGAGGGCAGTACTGCCCCCCTGGGGGAAACCCTTGAAACTGAATGATCTAGGTTCCTTTCCAGCTAGAAGTGCTTTGTCCAGGGTTGTTATGGGAACCCAGTATGATAAATGATGTGAAAGTACATTGTAAACTGTAGAGTGCTCTGCATGTAGGAGGGAATATAAAGATGTTCTCTCCTTGATAAAGAAGATGGAGGGAATGAGGAGGTTTGTGTCCCGGGGGCTGAATATGGAGAGGTGGCCCAGGGCCAGATGCAAAGGGGGTGTGTCTGTGGGGAGGAAAGCCTCTGGGGTGTGATGAAATGTCAGTTTAGGGGTGGTACATCTGTCTTCCCTAGACTTGCATACCAACTCTGGTTGGTTAGCAACAGCTGCTGTTTTATTTTATTGAGTGGGATGCCAGAGCTGCATACCTGGTTAACAGTGCCTGGCTCAGGAGTAGGGAGTGTTGGCATCTCTGTTCGTCATCTCTGTTGTAGGTTGCAAAATGTGTTAGGGATTTGCAAGAGTCATAAAAATTCAGAGAAAGCAGTTAGATCACTATGGACTGGAGAAATACCTGACCATCCCTTTAATTAAATAATTCTTTTGACTTATAATACATGGACATCTAATATCCAGGTATCCCACACAGCAGCTCACTGGGATAAACAGAGCAGAGAAGAGGAAGGTATGTCCCAGAGGAGGTGAGACACATATAGGTGAAATGGTTGGGAACACCAACTCTGGAGCCATGTTGTCTGGATTCATATTCTGCCTTAACTACTTAATAGCTATATGTCTTTAGGCAAGTAATTCAACCTCTTTGTGCCACAGTTTCTTCACCTGTAAAATGGGAATAATGTTATCTACCTGATTGAGTTGTTATGAGGATTCACTATGCTATGAGAATATATGTAAAGTATTTGGAACAGCAACTAGTATATAATATTCAACAAATGTTAGCTGTGACTTAGTGTACAATGTATAGTTTCCTTGCAGCCAAAGCAAAGAAGGAACTTGATTAATTGCATAAGTCTTCTTGTCAGAAAGGAAAATGTGCACCTGTACCTCAAGGGAGATTAAGTGGTTTCTGATACAAAATTCTGGAGAAAATGTCTCATGTAGGTGATAATTTAGGAGCCCCTGGGTGATTATAATGAACAATGTCTTCTACAATGACTTCACAGTCACAGAGAAACAAAATTTATGGCTCACATTTAACTCCGTGGCAGAATGAGGCAAAAATCCTGACTCCAGGTGCAGCCCGAAAATGCTACCTAGGGAACAAGACTGGCTCTGAGCTCTGGTGGAAGATGGGGTTGTGTGCACTGAAAAATAGGGGGACTAGGGTGCACCATCCTGCATGAAAGCAGAGGGGAAGGACCAGGCGAGGCCCAGTCCCATTCCAGAACATTTGCCTTACTACTATCACAGGTTCTGATCATGGCCTTCTTCAATTAGCAGCACTTAGGTCTGAGCCTTTCCCATGGCAAACCTGTGATCACTTTCTTTCCTTTAGGGGCATGACCCCAGGAGAAGCAGAAATCCACTTCCTAGAGAATGCCAAGAAGCTTTCCATGTATGGAGTAGACCTGCACCATGCCAAGGTACCACTGGGTCCCAGGGTTCCCCTAGTGTCTGGGTAGTGCCTCTGATGGACCACAAGGGCCTGCCAGAGGACTTGATGTGCCAGACCCTACATTGCCTCTTATCAGAGGCCTTTTCAATTCTCATTTCTCATTCCTCAAAACTCCATGGCCCTTTATTCCCTCATGATCTTTATCACTTTCTCCTGTATTCTATTTATGAGTCTGTTGTGCCATCACTAAATTGGGAGCATCATGAGGGAAACACATAGGCGTTCATTTATTTCTGTGTCCGTAGCATATAGCACATGGTCTAGCACTAAATATTTGCAGAGTGGATGAATTAGTGAGTTGAGTGACAGAGTGAGTGGGTAAATAAATGACAAAATGAATGAGTGAATGACTGAATGACCATGTGAGAAATTGGTCAGGGGGATTCCAATATGGGCTCAAGCCCTGATCTGGAAGTCTCATTATAAGTAGATTGCAGGGAGTGATTTTGGGAGCAGGTGGCAGCTGCCACCAGGCACGGATCCTGGGCCTGCCATTCCATAGTTGCTTCCTACACAGGACTCTGAGGGCATAGACATCATGCTAGGAGTCTGTGCCAATGGCCTGCTCATCTATCGGGACCGGCTGAGAATCAACCGCTTCGCCTGGCCGAAGATTCTCAAGATCTCCTACAAAAGGAGTAATTTCTATATCAAGATTCGGCCTGGGGAGGTGAGCCTGGTTTGCAAACCCTTTCTCCTCACTAGAATTGTCTAGAATGGAGTGGACTCTGGCATGTTGACCTGAGATTTTTCCTATCCAGGATACATGGATGGGGTGCTGGTGGGGAAAGGTCCCTCTTCTGCTGGGGCTGTATGTAGACTTCACACGTTAGGTACATGCCTACACACACACACACCTGCAGCCCACACATGTAAGCGTACATACAAAGATAACCACATATGTTCAGGTTACATAGCTCAATGAGTAGATGAGGCTCAAGCCCCAAAGTCCCACTATGAACAGATTACAGGGAGGGAGTAGGTGGCTGGCTGTCCCCAGGCATGGATCCTGGGCCTGCCATTGCATAGTCCCTTCCCACACAGGACTCTGAGGGCATCGACATCATCCTAGGAGTCTGTGCCAATGACCTTCTCCTCTGACAGGACGGACTGAGAGTCAGCTATGTAATTCCTCACAGGTAGTACTCTAGAGTGTACAGATACTAAGATATACATAGACACATGAGTACATGCACACACATGCAAACATGTATACTTCCAGCCTCCTCATCTTACCTATTAAAAAGTCTATTCATTTCTACCTCTAGAACAAATATGAGCCCCTCTGCCTCTTTCCTCTCCACCACACTAGCCACCAACAGCCACCATTTCTCACCTACATGCTACATCCTCTTTCTCACTGTTCTCTCTGCCTCCATTGTCACTTTGGGCCATTTTTTTCACAGCTTAAAAACTCCCATCAGATCACATCAAATCTATCCCCACTCCTCTGCTGGCTTAACCTTTCAAAAGCTCTTGGTTCTTAGCCCAAACTCCATCTGTGGCCACCTGTTTCTCCTACTTATCTCTGCCACATGCTCCTGTCCACTCTGTACCTGCCCCTTTGGCCTCTGAGACCCTTGAATAAACCACGCTCTTTCCTACATGGAGCCCTTCGCTTTTGATGTTCCTTCTGCCTGAAATTCCTTTTCCCCACCTTCTCACATAGCTGGCTGGTTCCCATCTTTTAGATCTCTCCTCAAAGATCCCCTGATCATGCTTTCTAAAATACCACATGACCCCAGAGCTGGCCCAGGTATTCTGCATCATATCACACCACACATGTCTGTTCCCTTCATGCCTGTGTCAGCATCTGAAGTTATCTTGGTCACTTATATGTTATTGGAGCCCCCACCCCCCATAACCCGAAGAATCTTCTGTTCTGGTCACCATGGTGTGCCTGTGCTTAGCACTGGACCTGTTACAGAGTAAGGTCTTGACTACCTTGTCTAGTAAATGTGTAAATAAATGAATGAACAGGCCAGAGGTGCGTGTGCCTGAGAAGAGGTTTAGAAAAGGCTGGACTGGTGGTGAGAATAGGCCGACCTTGCTTCTCACCCAGCCTTCTTGGTTGGCAGTATGAGCAGTTCGAGAGCACGATTGGCTTTAAGCTCCCAAACCACCGGTCGGCCAAGAGACTGTGGAAGGTCTGCATCGAGCACCACACCTTCTTCCGGTGAGCCTACCCGTGGGGCGGGGGAGCGGAGGAGGCAGAGGCGTGAGTGCGTGTGCATGTCTGTTTGATGAGGGGAGAGAGCAGCAGGAGGAGCTAGTAGGGACTTGAGGAGAGGCCTCCCTTCCTCTTTTCCTAACTCTCTCCCCTTCTAGACCACTTAGTGATGTTATAGCTGGTGGGGTAGTGGGTGAAAGGCCAGTTGTGGTTCAGCCTCGGGCTTGGCAATTCAGGTCTGATCTCCCACCTCACCTCCATCCATCCATTGCAGGCTGGTATCCCCTGAGCCCCCACCCAAGGGCTTCCTGGTAATGGGCTCCAAGTTCCGGTATAGTGGGAGGACCCAGGCACAGACTCGCCAGGCCAGTGCCCTCATCGACCGGCCTGCACCCTTCTTTGAGCGTTCCTCGAGCAAACGGTATACCATGTCCCGCAGCCTGGATGGAGGTAAGCCCCAAATTGAGGTGAGGAAAGATGAGGGGGCATGCGACAGCTTCCGCAAATGAGCACTGAAGGGCACAGACACATCACTGATTGATTAGCACAGGTGTGGTGGCCTGAGAGCACCACTGTACCTGGGCAGCTGCAGCCTGGGTCCCGCTGTGGTGTGACACTGCCACTCCTGGGACTTCCTGAGTTGTGCCCTTTTGGGATTCCAACTTCTGCTATGTGGTTCTCTGGGCCCCGCACCCAAGAAGCTTAGCAATTCACAGATTGTCACTGTGCGGGGAGAATGGTGCACTATGACTGCAGTGTGGGGCTGGTGATGCATTACCTGAGGAAGCTGAGGAGTTGTTCCTGGTCATTTTTGGGTCCTTATGAGCTGTAGGCTGATTGACATCAAACCTTGTGGAGCTCTCCACCACCCCCTATTTCCACTGGGCTGATAGGTGTCTTTTACATCAACAAGAATCAACTCTACACGCCTCTGTGTCAAGCTGACCAGGGCTTCTCAAAATGCGCTTTGCAGATCACCCGTCAGAATCATGTGCAACCTTGTTAAACATGAAGATTCCCAGAGCCTGGCTCAGAGCTACTAAATTAGCACCCTCAGGACCTCGGGGCTGCCTCTGGATAGGCACACTAATTTGTGGGTAAAGTTCATAGTCACATGGGGCATTGGGGAGATTCAGAGTTAGGCAGATCTGAGTTTAAACCTCAGCCACACAAGAAGTCATTCATAAATATCTGAATGGATGAATGAATGAATGAATGAATGGGAGACCTTGAGTAATTTAATTCTCTCAACTCTATTCCCTCTTCTATAAAGTAAATAATACCCACATTGCTGTGTTATAGAGGAACTGAGCAAGATATTGCCTATACAACACCCAGAACAGTTCCTCTCACACAGTAGAACTTCAATATATTGCATCTAATTGTAAGTCATTGTTTATTGTAACAATAAGTTATTATTGCTTTTAGGTTTGTAAATGGCAGTTTAAAGGTGGGAGGAGAAGACTCAGGTTGGGGATATATCCATAACAGAGGGCAGGCCTCCAAAGCAAGTAGTTCTACTCGAAATTTTTTTCTGAGGTTTATCCTTTTCTTTGAGAAGCTCATGGATAGATGGATTTGTAAGCATTTAATGTGATTCAAGCAATGGTAGATGTGCAGAATACAGAGGAGGAGAGTGGAAATTAATTAATCCTTGAGCAGAGAGGGAGTCTGCCCAGAATGGCAACAGAAAAGGCTTGGGAGAGGGTGATAACTGGGCAGGGTTTTGAAAGATACCGAGGTGTTTGCCCAGATGGTCACGAGAGTCTGATACTTTTCCTGCAGGATGAAAGTGAGACCTGGGCCAGATCCCCTGTCTGTGTTCCCAGGACATGCAGTTTTGCAGGGGTGCATTTGGGATTGAGAAAGCTGTGTACTCTCCTTGAATGGGCATAGGAGTGATAGCTGAGATTTAAGCAAAAGGAAAGCAGAATCCATTATCCCTTTACCTTCCTCTGCAGCTTCCATTACTATGTCAGGAATTGAATGAAGCGCAGATTGTGCAGGGCAGTAAAGAGTGGCCCAGACTTGGTGAGGCTTATCAAGGGAGGACTGGGAGCTTGGACTCTCCACCAGGAGGTCGAGGGCCTTGTTCTGAGACATTGAGATGACACCAGAGGCACCTTTCCCCTCTTGAGGTCTCATTTTCTCCTTTGTCAAGTAGAGATAGTAATTCTCAGTCTAGCTATTAACACATAATATTATGTGTATCAAATGAAATAATGTACATAAATGAGCACTTTGCAGAGTGAATATATTTATATGAATAGAAAGGATAATTGTTTTATTTTAATCTAAGCCATCCCCAAGGAGAATCCATGTGCTGGACATTTTAATGCATCATTTTCCAGCCATGTGTCCCACAAAGACATAATCCACAGGCATGGTCTGGGTTCGGCCCAGTGCCTGGTGGAAAGTCTGTGGTAGTCCCACGCCTTTCTTTCCTTTTCAGAAAAGTACTTTGGAATGTCAGTGAGTAAGAAAGATGTTATGCTGGGATCCCCTTGAATTCTTCCTCATATACAGAGAAGCTAAATCATTTGCAAACCTTCGCACTTTAACTTTCACAAGTAAAATCTAATCTCACAATTTCTGCATATTGCTAAATAGTGATCAAGTGAGGATTCTGCCATAACCACAACAAAAACAGTGACATTTGTGGGTCAGTGTTGATTGAAGGCTCATTCTGTGCCAGCCAGCCTTCTAAATACTTAACATGCTTTAACTTGTTTGTTCCTTCCCCCAACTACCTGAGTAGGCACCACTTATGAATGAGGAAACTGAAACCCAGAGAGGCTGTGTAACTTACCCAAGATCACACAGCCAAGAAGAGATGGGATTGAGATTTGAACAACTCTAGTGCTGTTGAAATCAGTGCTGTAGAAATCAGCAGGGGGCCTGGGGCTGAGAGGCACCTCAGACCTGGGGAAGGCTGTGTCACGCCTCTGGAAGCTGACTCCTTATCCAGCAGTGGTTGGGGGTATGGAAGTAGCCACACTACTCCAGGTGTGGCTAAGCAGGTGGTAGACTGGCTCCCTGTCTGTGTACCTGGGAGATGTTCCACATGGTCACCTGGCTGTCTTTGCCAACTTCAGCAGAGTTCTCCCGCCCAGCCTCAGTCAGTGAGAACCATGATGTGGGACCTGACGGTGACAAGCGGGAAGAAGATGGCGAGTCTGGGGGGCGACGGTCAGAGGCTGAAGAGGGAGAAGTCAGGACCCCCACCAAGATTAAGGAGCTCAAGGTATGGCCTGGCTTTCACACACTCTCTGACCTGGGGATGAGGAGGCTGATCCTGGGTCTAGCCTCAGCCTTGACTTTCAAATGCCCCAACTGTGGCCAAACTCCTCGCAATGGGGTGCATCATGGACAGGGCCTGGGCCTTGGGTCATGTTCAGTGAGGACTGGAAAAGCTGAACCTGCACTCTTCACCTTCTTTTACCCTTGCTTCCTGGAGGGGCACTTTATCCCCTGGAGGCCTCTGACTTCTTACTCCAAATTGCCCCTTTTTCTCCCAAGAGCGTGATGGGATGTCACTGTAGGCCCTCTTAAGTGTGTTCACTCCTGTTGCCCTGTCCTTTTCTCACATACCTATATACACACTCTCACAGGCCTGTGTAGGCTCAGGCTCACATGTATTCACTCACAGATGTGCACACACTAGGGGCCTGTGCATACACAGAGCCAAGTGTTTCCATCAGGCAGTCTCACCTTGGCAGCACCAGCCTCGAAACACACGCTGATGGCAAGAAGCATGAATGCCAGACCTGAGTGTCCATGCCCCCAGTTTGGCTGCCCATGTGGCCTCTAGTCCTTCCACCCCCTTCTTCACCTTCCTGGACAGCTCTTTGCTTCACACTCCCTACCCCTGACCACCTCACCTCCCTGCGGGTGGCCCACCAGCTTCTCTGGCCTCTGCCTATTGGGTGAGTGGGCTTGGGGCTACCTGCTGGACCAGACCCTTCGCGGTATCTCTCATCCATTTGCTCTACTGACACTGCTGGTTCCTTTCCCTCCTCCCGTGTCCCGCTAGCCGGAGCAGGAAACCACGCCAAGACACAAGCAGGAGGTACTGCATGGGACCTGTCCCTCCCTTCCCAGCCATTCACATCTCAGATCATTTGTCACCATGCCACCGCCCCTCCCTTTCCCCTTCACATTTCCCTGCCTAGCCCCCCTCGTCCCTACCCATCATTAAGCTCATCTCTCTAGTTCCCTGCTCGGACTCCACCAGCCATTTCCCTCTCTCCTCACCCCTCCCTCTATCCATCTTCACTCTGTCTCTGCAGACCATCCCATGCTTGCTCTCCACCTGCTGACCATCAGTTCTCTCAGGCCATTCTGCACTCCCATCAACCTCATCTCCCCTGCCCCTCACATTCATCTTTTGCACATTCATGTCTCCACACCACTGTTTGGTCATGCCGCCACCTCACCTGTGTCCTCTGTGTCTTCATCTTGAGTTTCTTTTTGTCTCTATTGGCACCCAGATGTGGGAGTGGGGTGGGGGGAGCCTCAAAGGGCATCTGTGTCTTCTCGGACTCCAGTCGCACCTCCCTCCCTGCTGCTGCCCCACTGCCTCCTTTTTCCCCTCCTCCCATGTGTTGCTCATCTTACCCCTCCTGTGTAACTACTTCTCCTTCTCTGTCACACAGTCTCCAGCTCTTCCTTTGAACCTTAACCACAAGGGAAGTGGGTTTGCTCTTGGGCCTCAAGGGAAAGGGCCAGAGGCTGGGCCTAGGAAGGACCAGGCTTGGAGTCCTGTGATCTGAGTTTTGGTCCCCATTGTGTCACTGATTCTTGGAAGTCATGAGAGTCCCCTCAGCCCTAGCCCCCCATCTGTACTGCAAGTCATTTAGACTAGGTTTCCCAAGGCCCTTAACCTTCAAGGATCCCAGCACACCACTGCTCCCGCTATCCTTCAGGAATACCATGTGCCCACAGATAGCATGGCAGGCACAGGAAGACCACAAAGCCATGTCTTGGGTCTACTACAGCCCAAACCCACTTCCTGTGCCAATCTGTCAGTTTCTATTCTCAGACATTCTCCTGAGGTGGCTGAACTCAGGGAGACTAGGGGCACAGCCAGCCAGGAGGGAGATCAGAAGCCTCAGTAGCATTGGTTTCCTTCCTGGGATAACTTAGAGTCATTCATAGTGGAGCCTTGGATGCCAGAGATGAAACCAGGAGAAGCATCTCGCCTTGTCCAGGGAGAGGCTTACCTTCCAAGTAACTCTCCCAGAATCGTCTCCTCTGACTTACAATAAACTGAGTTTGTCCATTTCTTGTCCTGAATTGAATTGCCAGGAATCCTCAAACAGCCTTGCAGATAAGGGTCCTTGTCCACCTGCCCTGCCCTACCCTGCCCCCGAAGTAGGCAGACAAGCAGCTTTGGCAAGTGACTGTCGACTCCTGTGCAAAAATGGCTCATTGATTGATGTAGAGGCAGATTCTCTGCTTGCTGTGCTGCACCAGCCAGAGCTCAGACTTGGCGGTTTAATGGGAGACACACCCAAGACTCCAGTGATAACCCTGTGCCGTTCTTGTGTCCAGTCTCGGGCCTCACCTCTCTTCTTCCTGGTCTGGGATTTTCCTAATCCTCCAGAACACCTCACAGCATGCTTATTTCTCTCTCTGGCCATGTCTCTCCCTGCTTGCACTCAAGGAGTTGGTACCTATGAGGTATCTGGAAGGTATCCCGACTGGGTGGTTAGGAAAGGTACAGAGGAGAAAGTTCACAGCAGAGAACAATGACCATACTCTTTTCTGGCCACTGGTCTCTAGTATGGGAGTAGGGGTGTCCCAGATTTAAGAGTGTCTGCACTCTAGGCCCCTACAAGGCCTGAGCAGCTGCACATATAGGGTTAAGAGGGGCCTAGCACAGTGGTCCTGTCCCTGGCAGCCAGAGGCAGGGACCAGGATCTGAGTGGCCAGGCAAGGCCAGAACGACCCAGAGAACAACTTGGGGATTTCTCACTGTCCCTTGGATATAACCAGAAGGAAGTCACTTCTGTGCCAAAACTAGGCTTACAGGGAACACCCTCAGATGGTGGCAGGTGGGTTGATTTGTTTTTTCCAAGGTTGGGAGCCAGGCCGGGGAGAAGAAAGGGTGATGCTTGAGCAGAAATCTCTTCTTAATCTTGAGTACTTTTGCTCCTCTTGCTAATCGTATGTGTTCTGTGTATCTGTTGGGTCTAATTGTCCTTGTCCTGTTGGCTGTAGCCTCCGTGAGGGTGGAACAGTGTCATGGATGCTGATGTAGGGCAGCGATGACCCTTCACATCTTCACTGCCCCTGGCACCCCCTGCTTGGGGCTGCTCCTCTAACACAGCCCACCCTCTCCATCCATCTCTAGTTCTTAGACAAGCCGGAGGACGTCTTGCTGAAGCACCAGGCCAGCATCAATGAGCTCAAGAGGACCCTGAAGGAACCCAACAGCAAACTGATCCATCGGGATCGAGACTGGGAGCGGGAACGCAGGCTGCCCTCCTCACCTGCCTCCCCCTCCCCCAAGGGCACACCTGAGAAAGCCAATGAGGTAGGTCTCACCTTGAACCCCTCAACAGGGTTCTTGGGTAAAGACGCTGAGAAGATTGCGATGTACTGACTTAAGCTCATCCTCCACCTCTGTATGCACCCCTTCCCCGATGCTGCATAAAGTGATAGTGGGGGTGGTGGGGATGAGGTGGTGGATTAGTCTGAGGGAGACAAATTCACTACATCTTAGAATCCTGGGGACCACCTTGAAAAACTCAAAGGACTCCCAGTATCTTGGTATATACCCTATCTTTCAGCCAGGGTATAATGAGGAAGGGATGTTTGTTAGAAATGCAGTTTAGGACCCTACATTAGACTTACTGAATTAGCATCTTTAGAGGTAGAGCCCTGGAATCAGAATTTTAAACAAATGCCTGGGCAGTTCTCATGCACATTACAATTGAGAGCCCTCATAGTTGCATCCAGTAGCTTTTCGTGCCTACTGTGAAAACACGGATCCTCCTAGAAGGATCCTCAGATTCCACTGGAGTGGAATGAATCCCCCCAGAAAAATCAGACCTGTGATCGTTGCTTCAGAAAAGGATTCCACATGATCCGCCTTTTGCAGTGGAAAGCATGTGGGGTGTTTTCTCAATTGAGAAACAGATAAAGATAGGATCTTGAGAATTCTTGTATTTATAATCCCAAGCTGTTATTTTTAGGACTGCTAGATCTTGGCAGTATTTACCCCCATTTGTACTTAGTATTTTCTCTCTAGCGCTTCTGCTTACTGGCCTCAAACCTGACTATGGTCTAGACTTACACTGCCTGGGTTTGAATTCTGGCTCTACTGCCTGCTAGCTGGATGGCTCTGGGCTTGTTACTTACCTTCTCTGAACCTCTATTAGGTGGTGATCATAAAGTACTTACTTAATAGGAAGGTTGTAAGGGTTAAATGGGGTACAGTAGAGAGGAGCTGGCAGATTACCTAGATGCTCAATGTGAGTCTCTTATTGTTTCCTTTTGAGGGGTGCCTGGAACTCACACAGGTCAGTTTCAAATCAGAATTCCTTTTAAATTGGAAGAACCCTTGGAACCTGTTTGGTGCAAGGTCATCATTGTAAAACAGGGCACTGGTGAGGCTCAAAAAGGGGAAAGACTTGCTCATGGTCAGACTGGTAAAAGAGGGGCCAGAACCCAATTTTCTTGTGTCCTAGGCCATTGTATTTGCTGTGAAGTCATAGCTGCCTAAGAGCAAGACCAAACTGTGTGAAGAACAGGTATAGAGTCACCTGTGTGTGCGCTGCCCTCTAGTGCTTTGAAAATTGGGGATGTGGCCATACTCTAATAAGCAGAGTGACCTACCCTCAACATTCCAGATTAGCAGAGGACCTCATTCAGTGAGGCTGCAGTGGTAGCTCCCTGGCTATGGGGGCCTTTAAGGCTAGTGCCACAGAAGGAGAGCATCCACAGAGGGCTTCTATGGTGACCTCTGGCACAACCAAGATCCTGAAGACCCTGGACTGGGCCATGGGGGCTGACCTAGTCATTAGTTATACACACCCCTTCCCTTGCCCCAAGGGAGACTTGACCCAAGTTGCTCTCATCAGTCTCTGTGTGGGCTGGGCTTGGGTGAGGTGGTGTGTAGACACTTCTGAAAGGATCAGACCCAGCAGAGAAAGGAAGGGTGAGACCTGGGAGCTGTACTCTGGAGCCTTGGGGTGCTGTAGCAGACTGGCTTGCAGTACGCCCCTCTTGCTGGCTGTAGCAGGAAATGCTAGAAGGTGGATCATACCAAAAGGTGGAATCTATTCCATGCCCACCAGTGTAGTCCACTGTTGGAAAAAGCCCATCCAGGAGCTAACCTGGGAACAATGGACCATATTTAACTGGCTTACAGGCCCCACTGGCATTTAGATGCCTATGAAGATTTGGAAGATGGGGAGGAGCAATGGCCAAAGGCTGGACTGATTTCTTGGGTGAATGACCTCACCTCTCTTAACCTCACTGTGTAGTCAGTTCATCTAAAGGGGAGTCAAAATTGCCACCCATAGGGCTGTTGGGAAGGTGGAGTGAAATAATGGCTATAAAAGCACATGATAAGCTGGAGAGTGCTAGGCAGTCCTGGCACCATTGCTAGTGGTAATGTGTATTCCTGATCATACATGGGCTATTGGGTGGGGGGGAGTCTGAGTTCCTAGAAGTGTCCCCATATATTGTTGGGCCTCACCTGAGCCAAAGTGAAATGGTGGGAACTTAAACCAAGAAAGGGATCCCCAGCTATAAAGAAGAGCTTCCATTTGCCAAACCTGGGTTTTGTTTCAAAGATAACTTTTTTCAAAGGGGCTGATTCCTAAACTTCAGGATTAAACTATAGCCTAAACCAGAGACCCCCAGGGAGGACTTGATGCCAGAGTCCAAGTGGCTCCAAACTTCTGGAATAAGAGCCACAGGCAATGAGGAAAGGCCCCACGGCACAGTCCTGTCTGGCAACTGACCACCATGGGCCTCCCTCCCTTGAATGGCTCTTAGAGGGCAGTTCCTTTCTGTATCATTCCATGGTCCCCACAGCATGGCTCTTTCATGATCTAATCCACAAACCCTAAGGATGTGGGATTTACAAAACTGGACTATTTACAGACTCTGTGTGTGTGTGTGTCTCTCCTGCTTTCTCTCGCTCCCTCTCTGTCTCCTTCCCTTCCTCCCTCCTTCTCTCTCCTCTGGCCCTGGGCCTCCCCTGCAGTCCCAGAGAACCCAGGACACCTCTCAGCAGGACTTGGCACCTGAGCCTGGGACGTCCACAGGCTTGGAAGTGTTCACTCAGAAAAGCCTCGCCGCGTCTCCTGAGGTTACTGTCATCACCTCCCTTCCCACCCAGAACTCCACTAATGATCTTGAAACAACCCTTTGTCTTGGGTGTGGAGGGTAGCCCATGTTATCTCCAGGCTGTGACCAGTGAGTTTCCGTTCCGGGGATCCATGAAGGGCCAGCCCCTCCCTGTCCATGGTACCTTACAATGATAAGACTGAGACCATTCTGGGAAGAGATTGGTCTGAATCACTTCTGGCTTCGAGAGGAGGCAGCAGTGGTCCCTCTTGTAAATCGGGCCCTGCTGAAGTAGGTGCTCTAGAGGATGCTCTGACCTCTAAGCTGGGAGTTGGGGGTCCTGGCACCTAAAAACCATCTGCTGTGAGGTCTTAAGGTTTAGAAGCCTTAGTAAGGTCTAGCAGTGTCTACTCTAGGGGATGATATCTGGATGGCATCCCACCTCCATCTCTTTTAAACTTTCCTTGGATCTTGGTTTGTCAAGCAAAAGTGGGCATCTTTCTCCAGGACTGTCCTTGTAGTTGTAAAAATGGTTAGGCAAATGAGGAGGGTGTTGCTTCTGGACTGGAAAGTACTCACAAGTCATCTGGGCCCAACTTCTCCCTGATGTCTGACCCTGCTGTTGACATAGTGTATGTGAGGACACATACCTATCTCAGTTACCAGAGGAAAGTTTTGTAGTTGTTGAAAATGTGCTAGATCTAGAAGAGACACAAGTCAGTTACCTAAGGGACAAAGCATAAATCACAGTTCCAGCCTATAAATTTTTCCTCAATGTAACAATAATAATAAAATTCCCCGCGCTCTCTTGAGAGAAGATAGTCAGGAGTCAGCAGCATCCTAAGGTTAGGCAACTCGAGATACCCTGCAGCACAGAACTGTTCTAGAGCCAAGACAAGAGCCCATACTCAGGGGGAGGAAGCCCCTAACATGTGCCCTTCTTCAACACCCCTGAAAATTGCCATCCAGCCCTCTCCAAAGGTGCTCAAAATTCTTAATGGCAGCCTGTTTTGCCTTCCATCATCTATTGAGGAAGTTTTCTTGTTGAATCTAAATCTGCCCTTCTAAGTCGTCTACCTGTGTGCCTCACCTGTCTGTCCCCTGGAGCCAGAGATCTGCTCAGCATCCTTCCCAGGCCAGCCTTTCAGGGTGAACACTTTCCTCCACCTGAATACCCCTCCTTGCTTCATCAAGTTTCTCACAGGGCATGGTTTCTAAAGGGTTCCTCTTCTGGACCCCCTCCTCTGGGAGGCATCTATAAAAAGCAGGGCCCAAAACTTGGCCCAGAGGCTCCAGGTGGGACCTGAGCACCCCAGCATCAGAACTGCCTGGCTGAGGATATATCCTGCTGATCCTTCAATTGCTTCACTTCCGGGCCCAGCTTCAGCTTGTCTGTCTTGCTGCAGTGCCTCAAGTGGCTAGCAGGGGGCGCTCTAAGCTGGTCGCTGGGAAGAATGGCCGCAGGGCTACCCTGCGTGATTTCACCCTGTGAATCATGCCAGGGTCAGCTCTGCCTTGATGCCTGCCAAGTTTTTGTCATTTGTTCAGTCTTGTCTGCTCAGGAGCCTGTTTATCTCCTCCATACTTTTGCTTATTAGGAGCAGAGCATCGTCTTCTCTCACTTCTCACTCTGATCTACGCAAGTCACTTCCCCTTTGGGAACCTTAGTTTCCCCTTCTGAAATAAGGTTAACATTACCTATTCCACAGGTTGCCATTGCAATGAAATGTAATAATTTAAACAAAGGGCTGACATTGTGTGGCACATAGTAACTAAACAAAAGTATGTTTCCCATTTTCCTGTGGAATCTTTCCCATCTGTGCCAGCTCCCACTCCACTCAGTCAAATTTCTAAGTTTCTAGTTTCTAGAAACTAGTTTCTAGTAGAGTTGGGGCAGGAATGTACTAGAAGTGGGGGTCCATAGGCCATATCTGGTCATCATTGCCAGGCTGATGATGTGAGTACAGGCTGAAACAGGAGCAACTAAAGGAGCCTGTTTCCCAAGTAGAAATGAAAAGAGACTTGGTTTGTGTAGACTCTCAAAGCTCTTCTCTCTGGAATGATTCAAGAGCTGTTGCCCTGAAGCCTTAATAACCTGAAGTAAAATCTTAGAAACCTATGTCAGACTTTGTCTGAGAACTTCCATCTTCCTTTTAATCTCTCTTTCCTTTTGGCAAGATTCTCTTGATGAAGATTGATTCCCTCACAGTCATGGAGATTTTGCTAAAATGGAGT